ATTTGCTTATTTGATAGGTAACAATAAAAAAGATGTGAATTAAAGTGCAGTTATAGGTGTCGACATTGTTTTTCAAAAGAATGCAACCATCTAGCATCCATCATCTAGGTATGAAATTAACACCGTACCCAGGGCTTCTGCGCTTGTGGTTTCAAATAAACGTCATTCTCGTACCCAGAGGATACCCTTTCGCCTGCGAACAGGCATGCTTCGCGTACGAGATCGAATGGACATCACTTTCAGTCTCTTGCTTCAGACTGCTCCAGATATAAATTTAAGAAACAGAAAACATTTTCTGTGTTTCTATAGAGACAGAGAGGTTCCCATGCCAAGGAAGTATCACTAGCGTAATTATCGAAACAGTGTATCGAAGACGGATTGTTGAAACTTAAGCATTAAATACTGGTAGAAATTCCCGTCCGTTTACTCATCTATTTGTGGTTGTGTATAATTTGTTTCGCTGCGTTATCCCAGCAACCATGGCAGCTTCTTCCAGTTCATTTATAGAACGCAAAAGGTAACGCAATGTGAAGAAAAACGATATGCTTCCTGCAATGACCATTCCTATGAATGGAATCAACTCCAAATATTATTCCATTGCTGCTCATGTTACTAAATAATATATTTATACATACATATATATATCCTTTATTGTAAATAGTTATCTATATGTTTTGTTAGTTGTCTATATTGTCAATTTTGTCAATTGGAACAGTTAGATTATTTCTATTTTCTTTTAATATTTGATTCCATAAGAGTCATAACAACACTTATATATAATAACTTTTGAACACACGCCCTTCATGGAAATCAATGTTTTTAATTGACGTAGTTAGCGTGTCAAAATAAAATCTATCTATCTATATGTTTTGGTCGCAACACTTCTGGCTAACTCCGTAACTGATTTGAACTGATGTGTTTCAATAATCTCCCTATATTTTCAATCCAACACGTCCAGTTCATCAGGTGTTGTGTTTTTGAGGCCAAATTGTCGGTACCGTGATTGTACCTTCAATAAGTGCAACCTCAATAGCACCTCCGACTCCAGAAACTGGAATTGCACCGGTTTCTGCTGAAACGGTTACCACAGCAAACGCTTGAGCTAGATTTGTTAGTTAGAAATAATGAAGGTATTATGTGATACTATTTTTTATTATTAGTAGTATAATATAAGAGAATATTAAGGACTTTCAAGAAACTCTCCCCATGTATTGAACAACCATTCGTCCAATAAACAAATGAAATGTCAATTTGACTTTTCTATATTTGTCCTTTGGACAAGATGTAACCTGCGATCAGGCTCTATTTTACAAATAATAGCCTGACACAATCCTTAATCCGATCGCTTTCCACCCACAGCAAAGTTTATATTTAGTATCCAATCAAAATATCGCAGGAGAAATTTAAATTTCAAACAACGACAACAACAATTTAATTATAGTTGTGATCACTATAAATATATCAACGAATATATATAATGTAATTAGCACCAGCCAATCAAATGACAGATTAGAAAATCTTTTGTCTCATAAACCAATCAGATTTACAACTGAAATACGGTTATAAAAGCATGGACTTTTGTTAAGATTTGTATCAGGCCTATTTATTTATTTATAGGCCTGATCGCAGGTAGACAAGATGCGTATAATTGGACATATATACAAATTTAAAACAGTCCTTACCTTTGAAAAACTTCGCCTTTCTCTTCGTCTTTCTCTTCAAGCGTTCTGGTATTAAATTTGATAAATATAGTGTTAAACACTCTCTTTGAAGAACGGGCGAGGTGTCGCTGATGCCTACAATTAGACGGTTGAAGTCCCATTTGTCTTTATGGTAGTTGCTAATCAGGAAGATTTCTTTCTCACTGGATATCAAATCTTTCACGTGTTGAATGTAATTTTGTCTAGTCTTTTCCAAAATGTCTGCTTCGTTAATTGGCTTTTCATCTTTAAGCCTGCCATCGTAATCGATCTTTGTGCGAATAAAAAAGTACGACTTGCCAATTGATTTCACTTTCGTTGCCAGTTCCAAGTCATTTTGTATAAAACGACCTGCAGTGAAAATAATGAAGGTATCGTAATCTTCGAAGCCAACTTTCTCGGAGTAGATAGGAAGATCAGGATAGTTCAGCGTACCGATGCCGGGTAAATGTACGAAACTAATTATCGAGTTGTTAGGATGAGGATATTCTGTTGGCTCAGTCGTTGCGTCAACCATGTCTACTTCTGCTGCACCAACATCGTCATCTTTAAGTCTAACCAAGAAAGTAAAGCACGATTTATAAATAAGAATTAATGCATATTTTGTATATATAGCAAGGATATATGTGCATAATTACATATCTGTTCTAGACCTTGTCACGAAATGTTGCTATATGTCCGCTCGCTCTGGCTTTGCATGGAAGAACTCCTCAGTCATGATCAAGAACATTAACATATGTGGGCAGAGCCTTTTCTATCGCCGTAGCCTCTGGAACAAGCTACCTCTCCAATTGCGGAAGGCATATATATATATAACGTGTCCGTTTTAACAGGCCAGCTAAAAACTTACTTATGTGAACCAGCATACTCGAACTCTTGTAGAAGGGTTTTGACTTCTCTAGATAGAAATTCGATTGTGGGAAATTTCACACTCGACAAATTCCATCCACAAAACCTATCTAGAATTAACTATATCCAATGTAGATGGTCACAATTTTGGTATTTACCAATGCTCAAACTCTTAGATTTTTTCCCTTGTGATTATTTTAAATTAATTCAAACTATGATTGTAAATAAGCTGCAAATTATAGTATTCTATTTTTGTTGGTTTTAACAGCAAAATTGTAAAGCGTAGCTATGAACAATAAACGCAACAGCAGTATATATAAATTGAATTATTATTAAACAAATGTAGGTTGGTGCAGCAAAACTTTTTCTACATATTGGATACACGTATTTGCAAAATGCCATCGCAAGTGCAATCAAGTTGAATCTGTGTATGAAACTTGGATAATCAACGTTCATTATAGTATAGAAAGTTTACTAGTGGGATGCTTCAGCAAAAAGATGTTAACCATTCTCGGGTTTAATTTTAAAAGTTATATTATTCTCGGTTTTCAACATCATTTTACTAATTCTTAAATTAAGAACAGATATTAGAGAGTTTCAGATTCTGACTTGCGCTACAGCTACCGTTGCCATAAAGCATTCAGATGCATTTATTCTACCCCATTAACTAATCAAATGCGTATTATTAGTAGAGGGCTATAAAGAAAGTAAAATATAAACCTCTCTGTTGTTGGTATCGGATCATATCCGAGGCTTAATGATTTGGAGTAAACGTGTTACACCATAATTGGAGACGGTGTACTTTCTAATCGGAGTTTGATTTAGGTAGCTAATCGTAAAAATATACTTTCCCGAAAATGGCTTGCGCGTATTCCCATGATATCGTCAAACAATGTCATGGTACTGCCCTCTGGCTATCTCGAAAAAAGAAATATCAAAACTTGTTACCCTCTTATTGCGTTGATAAATGCTGATTTTCCAGCTCCACTGTCTCCTGTTATGCCAAATCTTATTTTCACATCTTTCCATTCCTCGATTTTTTTCCTGAGAAATTCTCCAATGCCAGAAAGACAATTGTGTTTAATGTATGTTCTTGCCTTAGCAAAATATTGTTGGGTGAGATCACTTCTGTCTATAAAAATACATTTTGTCTGTTAATATAAATGGCTTTCGCGCGCTCTGATTGGCGGCTAGTTGACTAGTAAATCTGAGGTAATATTTACCACCTAAGTAGTAAATGTTTTTCAAAAAGAATGATTCGGCAAATTTGGTTTCAAATTGACAAAATATTGAAAAAATCGTCCCCAGAAAACGAAAGAAGCACACAATGCTGTATTTAATTAGAAAGATAGGATTCCTTTATTATTTTACTGTGTCAAACATATTCACGGACAATTTAAAACTTATTTAAAACTCCAAAACATTGACTTCAAACAAATAGCAAAAACCATCCCGACTAGCTGTACTGTTGGCAAAAACCTTGCCGTGATATTCTTTAAAATCCATTTTATTTTATATCCTATAGATTTCCTAATTTGTGCGATACTATTTCTTTTGCTATATCATGTTTTCATTGTGCTGTATGGTGTCCCGCCGCTGTGTTGTGTTTTCGAAGCTTGTAAAGTGAAAAGTGTTTAATATTAAAACTTTATTTCGAACCATATAGTTTTACATTTCAATTTACCAAATTTCTCAGCCATTTCCTGACAAAACTAATGCTAAACAGAAACGATTTTTAATTCTAAGTCTAGTGAAAGAGTTATTCCGTTATTGTGTTTATATTGTAAGCAGAAATCGAGAAAAACAACTTTGTAATAAAGCAATAAAGTCACACAAGAAGCCATTTTGAAAGCGTGTGCGTACAAGAAACACTGCAACACTATTAGTGACAGTCACCTTAAAAAGGCCGAAAACAGTTCTTTTTCTGAAATTTAATTGAACTGATATTCGGATATTTTGTTTTATTCATTAAAAATTTATACTAAAACAATTATTCGCCTCAGGCTCAGTGATTACGGTGAATATTCACCTCGACTTCGTCTCGGTAAATATTCACCGGTAATCACTTCGCCTTCGGCTAATAATAGAGATTCTGCTCCAGCCCACACGATTTGTACGCCTATTATTGTTGCATTGTTCTGGCCTAAAGTCTGCTTTCCAGCCATGCGTCGTTGATCGAAAGCAAACGCGCAGAAAAAATTTAAACTCTTCTCATTTCAGGCAAACACTAAATCGCACAGAATACTATGTACTTTCATTAATTTGATTATTTCATAGGTAACAATAAAAAAATGTGAATTGAAGTGCACTAGTGCAGTTAGGTGTCGACATTGTTTTTGAAGAGAATGCGACCAACTATCATCCATCATTGAGGTATCAAATGAACATCGTACCCAGGGCTTCTGCGCTTGTGGTTTCAAATAGACGTCATTCTCGTACCCAGAGGGAACCCTTTCGCCTACGAACAGGCATGCCTTGGGTACGAGATTGAATGGACATCGTTTCAGTCCCTTCCTATTGTTTTTGTTTGCGCGGTCTGCAGGGGGTGTGCCGAGATTTGAAATTAAACGAGACTTACCTGTAAGTTGAAGTTTGATTGGAATTCTGCGAGTCATCAACAGGGAGTGAAGGAGTTATACTAGAGAGTGCAGCGCATGCGCAAAACCAGTCTTAAGAGCCCAATTACCCAATGACAATTTTGTAATTTGGGTGGGTTTATTATTTGTAATAAAAAATGGGCGGGAGTACAACTCCTTCACTCCCTGTTGATGACTCGCAGAATTCCAATCAAACTTCAACTTACAGGTAAGTCTCGTTTAATTTCAAATTCTACTTCGTCGTCAACTCGGTCGTTCCGGAGTTGTACGAGATTTCAAAAAAGGTCATTGAGTAATTGTAGCGTGGGTAGCGATGAGAAACAGTGATACCCACTGTAAGTGCAATATTAAATGCACCAGCAAAAAACACAACGTTTTATTATATTTGTCACATAATAAATGCACAATGTAATATGAACAAGGAACTTTAAAGATTATAGGCACGTTAAATAGAGTTAACATGTTGAATCCAAAAAGCCTTTCCGAAATTAAAACTTGATTCCGTGGGCTTGTCATAGAAACGTTGAAACGTCTTTTCATTCGACCAACCAGCAGAGGACAAAATATCTTGGATATTATTATTACATCCTGCAAGATGGGATGATGAAGCCGTTCTGGTACTATGTCCCTTGAGTTTTGATATGTCAATGCCAGATGAACCAAGCACTGTTTTACACCAACGAGAGATTGTGTCTTTTGATACCGGACCATGAGGTTTTACATAGTTTATTAATAACTGCTGACTTTTCCGAAGGGCAGCTGTTCGTCTGATGTATTCTCGAATATGTGTTAAAACACATGCAGTTTGGTCTTGTGGGTATCCAAGAAATTCAAGTGGTTTAATATGTTTTCCTACTCGTGATTGTTTGATCTTGTTCGCAACAATGAACACACATTTTCCATCAGTTAGTTGCATATGTTCAAGAGACAGGCAGTTTATAGTCTGGCAACGTTGACCATTCAATAGACATAGTAGAAAGGTCAAATGTAGAGTGAGATCTTTTAGACTAAGCTCCAGTATAGGTGGCTGCTTGCGAAGATGATTAAGTACAACGCTTACATCCCAAATTGTCTGGTATCAGGGGAAAACATGGTTTCAACTCATACAACCATTTCATGAAACGTTTAACAACTGGTAAATGCCCAAATGACATATTTACATCATGCAACTGTAGAAGACTAGACAAGGCACTTCGTGCAGTATTAACAGAACTATAAGACATACCAGAGTCAGATAACTGCGCCAAAAAATCCACTGCAAATGTAACAGGCGGCGATATCATATCACACTTATACTTGCGCACAAAGTTCTTGCCATTTGATAATTTGAGATTGATACTGACTATGAGTACCTGCTCTCCAGGATGCCAATATAATTTTTATGGAGCTTTGGGACAATCCTTGGGCTTTAAGTTTCTCCCCGATAAGAGACAAATAAGAAGTTCCATCCTTCTGTGAAGTGGATGAATTTGATCGGGGGCTGACGGAAGTCTCTAATGCTTCGACAAGACATGTGGAATTGAGCATCCACTCAGTATCAACACTGATAAAATTTCGAGATGCATGGTCAGCGTCAACATTAGTGGGCAGCTGTGCGCCATATATCATTACGAAAACAAAATTCCCAAATTTTTGTGGCCATTAAATGACAGTTGTCACTGTGTACACTGCCCATATGGTTAATGACAGCTACTGCAGTGGTGTTATCAACCAGGATTTGTACGTGTTTGGTAGTAATAGAAACCTTAAAACATTTCAACGCCAACAAAACAGCGTGTAATTCCAGGACATTAATATGGCATTTTGCCTCTACAGCTGTTCATTTACCCCCTGTTGATATTTCCCCCTTAACAGCACCCCAGCCTTTCAATGATGCATCTGAATATAAAACAACATCCACATGTGGGCATCTTATGGGATTGAAACTGGTATCAATATGATTTAACCACCAGTCAAGTTCATACTTAGCATTTTGCGATAGAGACATAAAGGCATCAAAATTTCCTTTACATGATTTAAGTGCAGCAATTTTTTCTTTTTCTAAATACTTGCAATAAAGTGCCCCATACATTATCACAGGGAGGCTGGCAATAAGACAGCCAATAAGTTTAGCAACCGAACGTATTTTTATATGAGTATTGACTCTATAGTCTGTTTGACCAGTTCTTTTATGTGTTTTATTTTCTCAGGTGTCAATCTTATCGTCATATAGATTGAGTTAATGACAAAACCTAGAAAAACAATCTCCTGTACTGGTATGAATGTTGACTTGTCTGGATGGGGTACAAGCCCAACATTGTCAAACACTTTTACTGTTTGTACTACATTAGCAATGCATTCCTTTTTTAAGTTCAAAATAAGACGTATACCACCATCCTTCTTAGGAACAGTGAATATTGGTGAAATAAATTCTATAGGAGCATTCTATAGGAGCAATAACATTATTTAATGCTCGATTGGGCCGGGGAGGGTAATGGCCCCTCCCCTGATGCGGTAAAAAATGAGGGCGTGATGTGCTTGCTGAATTATAATTTGCTGATGATCTTGGCTTTCAACTGGTAGAAATATGTGTTAAGTTATTAACAACCTTGCTTGTTGCTCTTAAGTCCTGTAACACTTTAGAGAGGTCATCACCAGAAAGTGATTTCTCTATTTTATTGTTACGAGAGCATGCTGGTTTGAATTCATTTGTCAGACTTGGTCGGATCTGGTCTCTTCGTTTGAACGAAAGTTCTTTATGAACATGCCCAATAAGAGCAATGCAGTCGATCAAGTTAGACATAACAGATTTCTAATCAGGAATTGATCGTTTCTCTCGACAGTCTAAAAGTGTCTTCAATGAGATAATTACAGCATTTGACACTCTGAGTAAGAGGTCTTGTAAGGTTGTCATCTTTATGTCTCGCTGCTTAGTTGTTGGGTTTAATTTTCCCCATATCTCCGGGTTAACACGTGGCACATAAAGTGCCTCACAATTTTTGGGTGTTTTGTACTTTTCAGAAAGTTGTTTCCTTTTTTCAAGGTTAAGATCCATCACAAACTTAGTATTCACTAGTTGTGAAAGTTTTTCAATAACTTGTGGTCCATGATCCTCAGTGGGACAGAGTGATTCACCTATTTTTGTCAGAAGACTGGTATTGTCTTCATCCTCACTCATTGACCCGGCAAAATCAGGGTCATGCTCATCCCCATGTACACTTAACCTGTCGTCATTTTGCTCACTTGTGTGTTGCTCATTGTCTGACTCTGAGACCGAATTTGTTGCTTCCTCTGAAGCACTGTTAGTTGCTTCCTCTGAAGCATTTGTAGTTGCTGTCTCTGCAGCTACATCTTGTAAGCCTACTTGAGGTTGTGTATCATTCGAGTCATATTTCTGACGTTTGCTCGAGCTGGCCGAAGCCGTGACACTACTGGTGTTAGCTCGTTTTTCGCCTTGGCGTTCGGCCACTAAAATGGACAATAACGCTGTTTGTGTAGACATAGTCTTCTGTAAAGACGACAAGAACTAATGAAAATCTGCCCTATCATGCTCAGGGTCTTTGTTTGCTTGTTCGGGTATATCTAAGTCGTCAGACTCGTCATAATCAAAACGACTTTCAAGGTCATTCGGGTCATCCGAATGAGCCGCCATGTTGCCTAAATAAACAGCATAAAAATAATCAAACCATGCAAAATACAAGACAAAATTGTGATACTTAGCTGAAACACTGCAACAGAAATAGATATTTATTTTGAGGATACACTACCAACGGTTAGAAATAGTAAAAATTTCCAAAAATCCTCTGGATGAAAAAACACGAGGCTGTTTTTTTCCGCGCAAACTGCACAAGTGGTTTTGCGCATGCGCTGCACTCTCTCGTACAACTCCGGAACGACCGAGTTGATGACGAATTATAATTATGTATTTTGATTTCGATTTAAAAAATAATACTATGATTTTATGAACTAAAACTTGATTAGTAATACGGTTTGGAAAAAATGATATTAATTAAATCTGGCTGCCTGCTAGGCTCAGATTCCAGCCGTTGTGTTCTCGCCACTCGCCCACTTAACGGCTGGGTCAATGGTTAATATTTCTTGTCTGTGACGTCAAGGTTAATATTTAAATTTATGCATATGTTTTGCATAATTTTGTATTTCTGTGCAATGTAAAATGGCGGCTGTCAGGAGCGAACAATTTTGTTTGGAAGAGGAAATAGCAAATTTTAACAACTTTGTGCATTCATCGATAACTTTTTTTGTAAAGGAAAACAAAATGGAAGCTTTTAAGTTCATTTGACAAAATGTTATTAAGTTCTAGTATGTTTTTAACGAAGAAAGGAACTGCAATGTACACGAGTCAATGAATAGTATATATCTAAATAGTAAAACAATAAACCCTACCAACAAAAGCAGGTGAATCTGAATAATTAACGTCTTATTTCAAACAAATAGTTTTTCAATGAATATTCTTTGAAGAGGAACATAAATTTAAGTAATTTAATGTTAATATTTGAGTTGTTTATAGACTATAGTTATACGTAATGCAATTTTACGCTTTGTGATTAATATCTAAATATTTTCTTTATGATCGATTTTGTTCGAGGGACAGTGAAGGAACTAAGTCTTTTATAGACCAAACAATAGTCTGTCAAGATATGATCATTATGATGGTCTGGAAGCCTGCAAACTTCAAAGCTACAAAATAAAAGACCTAGTGTTTGATGTTGAACTGTACCTTACTGTGCACCTTCATAGATTTGGTTAAACAGTCTTTAGATGTAGCAAGAATACTTGAAATTTAAAATGTTCTTGGCTTTATTTCGGTGTTGTATAAGTTGTCTGTACAAATGGAGGCCGGGTGTGCTCATCGACCCATATATGGTTCAGTGTATGACTGTTGACCAAGTCAGTAATCATTTGTAGCTACACACAGCAGTGAGGGGTATTATTGTGGTAATGGTGACAGGATATTGCCTTTCCAAATTGAAATATAATGATTTGATGAAATAACCCCCCACCTTACACCCCTTTGTCAATGTTAAGGGGGGTGCATCCCCATGGAAGTAAATATATCCAGGGATGGATCCAGCATGATCTGGTAGGGGGGTGCTCTGCCAGCTCTGGTGCAGAGTTGTGTCGGTCATGTGTGCCACCCGCCCATCAACTTGCTTCACTACTGCAAAGTCCTGCTTGACTACTGTATTTAAATTGTAATTGTTGTTCACATTTCGCTTATCATCATGTTATTACTCAAATTACTGTATGTCATTTTGTCTCTAATAATTTTTTGTTTTATCATGAAAAATAGCACCCCTCCCCCCCTGCACCCCCATCCCTGAATACATCTCTGCAGGAATGCAAGAAGAATTTGGCATCTTTTCCCCCATGAAAACTTAATCCCCCATGCCAGGATAATTTTGGTGTTTAACATTTTGATATTTTCTAACTAAAGTGTTACTGCAACAAATTTTCTGAACCCTTGTTTATTAGCTTAAATAAATATTCAATCTTTCAGAACTAGCAATTTATCATGCTTTGTCATTCTCAGTCTGGCTTTCATATGAACAGCCATTAAAAACACACATTGACATGACAACTATCCTTTTCTTAATACCAAACTGACAAGGTTTCCAAAACTCAGCCTGAGGGCTGAGAGCAAACATATTTGAGCTTGTTGAACAGACTAAATGCATATTTCACTGATGTCTGAATTTATAAAACATTGCATACTTTTATTCCATAAATCCTCTACTTAGGCTATCCAACAAGTCCCATTCTTTGCCCCAAATAACTATGTGCCCACATTTATTCAATTAGTATTCATGGTAAATCATATTGTCAATATATAAAATAATATTGAATTTATTGTGCTTGCCTGTAATTAGCAATATGAGCACACTGATATATCAGTTTCAGCACATTGATATATCAGTTTCAGTTCACAAATTACCTGCCCAGTCTAAAAATATTGTCAAATGGCCCAAACTAGCTTGTGGGAGATCTAACCATGCAAGCCTATTATTACCTAGCCATGGGCTCCATGAAAGGGCCTGTTTATAGAATCCCAGCTAGGCAGGATGAGGCAGTTTCCAAGATCCTGACTATCATATCAACTCGTGTTCAAAAATACATGTATATATTTGATGAACTCACTCATGAACATGTATAAACATGACATCCTAGCTGCCTGGCAAGGTTTCCCACTTTTCCACCTGACAGGATCATATAAACATGTCTTAATATTAATTAAAATAAGCCTTTTAAATACTGCAATATCCTACATACTAATATACTATATGTCACAAGACTTTGCAAAATAACATTTTCTACTTTCCTGGCAATATGTCAGACCAGTCCAATCATAAACACATCCAGGTTTATTGTAAATATAATTATAAATGTCCAACTGAATCAGCAGAAACAGGGAGGGTTTCAAAGGACTAGGCGGTAGGCCATCTAGCTAACTAAGCTAAAAAAAGAAAGGTTATTAATTTTGCTCAGCCACACGCAAAATATTCTTTGCCCTTTCATGACCAAGAATCCTGAATGAGATATATTATTTATAAACACAATATAAAAATATGCAACGGATTCGAAAAGACGAAAACATTCCAGCGACTATTATTCGTAGACAGCAAAAAAAGCATTTTGCCAATTTCCCCGCGTTTTTCCCCGTTTCCTGGGATACGAGCCCGCATCACGATTTATGAATAAGGTCTATATCACGGTTAATGAATCTGTTAATGATGTTTCACTGTTATTGCCCGGAGTTAATAATGTAAATGACCATTGTCACGGTTAATGAACATGTAAAAGAACAATCGCTAATCATCGCTAACGAATTCAAAGGTGTGAGTAGAAGTCGAAGCAGAACGAAACATTTCTTTTTATCGGGAATTTCTGAGGATGTTCACAAGGAACAAATCTTGTCTTATTTAAAAGTCGTAACGTAGAACCAGCAAATATCTCGATTTTTAAATAGCCGTCAAAAGGGAGCTATTTCAGCGAAGGTTAGTGTACCTTCCTCAGCTACCTCTGCAAGATCAGTCAGATATTATACTAGTGACAGAAACGTGGCTGACAGACGATGTGCCGGACGAATCAGTGAACATCAATGGTTTTAATTAACCTAACAAGGAAGGATAGAACGATAGGAAGAGGTGGTGGCGTTGCAATCTATGTTAAAGACTGAAACTGTACCTCTAAAAGTCCGGTCTGACCTGTCTAACGAAATCTTCGAATGCCTATGGATTATTTTGCGGCCGAAATGACTACCTCAATCGATATCAAGAATTGCGGTTGCATGCGTTTATATTCCTCCATCTATAGATCAGGAGAACTTGAACAGGTTTATGAGTACTTTTGTTATTGTTATGATATCTTGAAATCAGAAAGCCCAAATACGTTAATTAAAGCTGCTGGTGATTTTAACCCTGCAAGTAATAGCTTCAACACAGGGCCGAAGATACAGGGGGGGGGGGAGGTGACACCCCTCAGAAATTTATTCAGTCGGCAGGACTGCTAGTCAGTCGGTAGGACTGCTATTTGGGTTAAATATTTTCGCACAAAGGGCAAGATAGAGATTGTTGGTCCCGAAAAGAAAATTCTCGCCCGGGCTACCGTCAATCTCTCAGCTTCCCTATTCGTCAGTCGGTTGCAGGGCAGTAGAAAAAATGAGGTATATTTACAAAAATCTCGAATATTCTAGAAATTTTAGAAAAATGTTTTCGATAAATGGAGAGAATTTGTGATGTCCGGAAAATTTGTTTGATATTCCGAAAAATTTCGATATGTCCGGAAAAATTTTTGTACCCCTAACATTAATGGTACACTGACCGAAATTTTGTTGGCGAAAAATAATTTGTTGCCAAAAATAATTTGTTCCAAAAAAAGTTTTTTCAGGTACTGGTCGTTTGAAATGACCTTACACCCCCCCTGAGGAATTCCCTGGGGACGGCTCTCCTTCAGCACAAACATCATTAATAGACCGAATGCCACTTGAAACAAGTCATCAAAAAACCTACTAGAAATTCGGCAATTGTAGGACCTTATTTTGAAGAACATTCACAAATTCTACTAAGCCCCCTTGTATATATTAGCCCCAATTAGTACTTCAGACTACTGTACAATTATATGGTCATCACAAGAACAAATGAAGCACAAGCAAAAGTCAAAACGGATAAATGTAAGACCCCTGAAATCCTCGTCACTACAAGTCTTTGAGCAGTATATCAGTGAACATAACTGGTCACCCGTGTTGAATGCCTCTTGTATAAACGATAAAGTCAGCAGGTTTTTAGGAATAACAACAGAAATAGTCGATGCATTCTTCCCCCTAGAGTCAGTCGAAATCCAAGTTAACGACAAACCTTTTATAAATGGAAGAATTAAACAATTGATACAGAAACGAGATAAGACATACCAACTTGGAATAGTCGATCAATCTAAGCTATTGCGAAACTTAACCAAAACTCAAAGAAATGGGGTGGGGTGGGGGGA